AACAAACAATATATGGACCCATTTCTATTTCATTTCGATTTACATCTCTTAATGGATGGCTGGGAATAGATCTATGGTAGATAGATGTTGTAATCATTTAGATTCAAGCTATATCGATTGGTTTATTTTTTTTTATTTATTATTTGTTCCAAATATCTCGGGTGTCTGATATGACACTTTTTGGTTTTGTGTTTATGTGTCCACTAATTCTGTTTCAATGGTTATTTTTTTTCTGTTGCTGTTCAGAAGAAAAATTGGCTCGATTAAATCGAGTGAATTCAGGTTTAAAAAAAAAATATCACTACATATAAGTATGGTACACTATTAAATTTTTTTCTATTTTCAATATATTCCCCTTCGAAATATTGTGATTTTTGTTTTTGTTTCTGGATGTTTTGGTTATACAATAAAATCAATAAGCAAAAAACAAAATCAGATTTGATGTTAAACAAGTGATATTCTTGATTTTTCATCTTGATTCTTGATTACATCTATCACATGCACACATTTTATATACACATTAAGAGAGAGAGAGAGAAACAAGCAGACCATTAGGCAGCAACAACAAATGTACATTGGTAGTATTATCAATAGAAACAAACACTAAAGAAAATCTATAGTTTCTAAATAGAACCTTAGTTTTTTTTCTGGATCAGGAAAAAAAACAGCTGGCTAGCACTTTTAGTTTGTTTAATGTTATAGGCGTAAACCATAAGACGAAAAAAAAAATGTGTGACCGCTGCCGCTGTTGTTGCCATTTGATATCACATAGGATGGATGCTTGGTTCGTTGGTTGGTTGGTTGGTTGGTTGGTTGGTCGCTTAGTTGGTCGGTTGACTGCTTGGATGGATTTGTTTCAAGCTTGGATGGATGACTGAGTGTCTGTCTGTATGTGTGTGTGTGTGTGTGTTTTTTTTTTTGGAACGTCTTTTTACCATTTTAACCAAAATGACAGCAAGTATTCGTGTGTGTGTGTGTGTGTGTGTGTGTGTGTGCATTTGCTTCGTTTGATTCTTGCCATCATTTTTATACTCCTCTATTACACTATATCCTGAATCACTTTGGATCTTTCGTTTTTTCTTTCTTTTGCCATTTTGATCGCTTTAACATTTCTCTCTCTCTCACTCATTGAATTGAAAAAAATACGTCACTTATACTATCGCTGTAGTAAACTTGTAGACTAAAAACTGTTACTTATTCGTTGTTGTTGTTGTTGTTTTTTTGCTGTCGAAAAAAAACTTGGCTAAATCGTTTGACAAAATAGAACGATTCGATGGATGGATGGATGGATGGATGAACGGATGGATTCATTTTATGTTATTCATCTGAAAACTATCGATCGGATCATCGAATCAATCTGTTTATGTTTGTTAATCATTCGCCCTAATGGTCCATATGCACACACACACACACACACACATACAGAGTGATAGATAGAGAAGATATATTTATTTATAACGGTTCACGGTTTTTTTTTTTTCGCTATTTACAAATGATTGGATACATTGTCTGTCACTTGTTGTTGTTGTTGTTGTTGTTGTTTTGAACGTAAAATGTCAAAAAGAAGAAAAAGAAGAAGCATTGACATTCATGCTCCAAATTTTATTTGTATAAACATTGATGTAATTAAGTTTTTTTTTCTTTACGATGGATAGATGGATGAATGGATGAATGAATGAATGAATGAATTGTCAAAATGAATCTTGCGATATATATATGATTAGGGTCTCGTGCCAAGATTAGTGTTTTTGCTGGTATACTGGTGGTGTTCGATGAACCATTTTGGTTTAATAGGTCAGTTGATGTGTGTGTTTTGATTTTTATAACACAATTTGGATATATATGTGTGTTTTTTGTTAGTGTTTAACAGAGAGGCTAGTTAATAAAGTTTTGAGAAAATACCCAGGAGAGATTGCTTGATTTTTGGTCTGTTTTTTTTGTTTTTGTTTTGTTTTGTTTGGTTTCTGTCATTTTCAGCCATAACGTTGTTATTATGATTTTTATATATTTACTTGTTATTTTCCCATTCCTTTTTCAGCTGATAATTTCAAGTATAACTTATAAATAAAATTGATACGTCAAATGGATTCATGATGATGATGATGATGATGATCATATATGAAAAGCATAGCGGCCAATACATTTCATAGAATCACAGAATTCGTTCTAGGTCCAAATAAAAATAGATAGAAAGAACATCAAAAACAACAACAAGAAGAAGAAGAAGAAATGAAAATAGTATAGTATTTGAAGAAATTGCTTTTTGTATGTGATTCTTTTTTTTTTTTTCCATCACTATTCTATCTCAATATTTCTTCTATATGCCTGCATTCACCAACAACAACTGTCGATCGGCATTTGCAATTATTCTGTCCGGCCAAACGTAAAATTTGGAAATTAAAATCATAGACACTGTATGTATGTATGTATGTGTTTGTGATGTGTATAGATTGAGCAAGACTAGATCTTTGGGATAGCCTAAGCGAAAAAAAAAAAAGAAAGAAAGAAATGAGAAAAAAAGGGAAAACCACGATCATCGAGTGAATAGAATCGAATAGAATCGAAATGAAACAACTCTTCATAATCATCATCATCATCATCAGACAATGAATAACGAAAATGGAATTAGAATTCGACATATACTTGATGGTTTGAACAATAACAACAACAAAAAGACTGGGAAAACTTTCTATTTTGACAATCTAACCAAATATATCTCTTCATCTCCAATCAAAGAAAATAAAAATCATAGCATAGATTTTTTTCTCCATCCAGATTCGATATCAATTCAAATCAAATTGTTTGGTCATTGGAATTGGATTTTTCTTTTTTTGATTCCTTATCAAACAGAAAATTCCATTGATTATTGAGATTGAAAATATAATCTTGATTTGTATTGGATCTGTAAAGATAGAAAATTATTCCTGATAGACAGATGAACAAACAAACAAAAAAAAAACATTTGTTTCAGCAGGTTTTTTTCGATTGACAATTTGGTTGATGATGGTGGATTGTTCAAAAAAAAAAAACAACAAGAATCTAACACATCGAATGTTTAGGATTTGAATGTGAATGTGATTGTGAGTGGCCATGAGATTCTTGTATGACATTCAATAATGTTTTCGATGTGAATGTAAAGATTAGAAAATTCTTTTCCATTCATTTTACTATTACTACTATTATTAGTATACGACAAGCCTGTCAATGTCAGATTTTTCTTTTGTTGTTGATTTGTTTCTGGAACGAGTTTTTTTTCGCTGTTTTTTTCTGATCATGATCAACTGATAATGATGAACAATGTTTGATGATGATGATGACGATGGTTATAAGGATTGTATTCTCGTGGCCAATTTGTTCACAGAATCGTTGGTCTATTGTTGTTTTTGAACAAAAAACTGTTATCGTAAGCGATTGAGACATTTTATTACCAAACATACACACACACACACACATACACGAATGAAAAATCATTGAATGACAAGTGACACATGTGTATCTACACACACAGACACACGGGTATATTTTACTATTAATACTACTACGGATATACGACCCCTTATCCCATTTACATTGATAACGACATTAAAAATTTTGTATGCGGTATTTGTGTCTGTGTGTGTGTGTGTGTGTGTAAATGGCATTGGGGACATGACATGAAAACGCCAGAAAAAAAAAAATGAATTCGACATGAATGACGACAACATATGCGACAATGATGTGAATGATTTTGTCACCCGATAATTGTCTTTAGCACCAGCAGCAGAATCCAATATTATTTCCGATTATATTCGGTAGCATGTGTGTGGCCAGAAGAAAGAAGAAAAATCAAAAACATTGGACAATTCATAGTTGTTGTTGTTGTTATAAATTATTACAATCAGGAACATACGCCAACAACAACAAACATCTACCAAATCATTATGACTTGTTTGTTGTTGTTGTGGGGGGCCAAATAGAAAATAAAAACACCAGATTGGATTACAAAAAAAAAAAAAAAAAAAAATTTCTTAATTTGATTATTACCATTGTTGAATGAAAAAGAAAACAAAAATCGATATAGTAAATTATTCGTTATTTTTCATCATACTTTTATTATCACAATTACCCATTAAACATATATAATATATGTGTTTGATCCAGTTATTATCATTATTATTATGTATGGATATTAATGTCGTAAAAAGATGTTTCATTCACTCTGATTTACCAATTGAATTTATTGAATTCCTCTCTCTCTCCCTCTAATTCATCATCTCAAATAAGTCATAATCAAATTGATGTGAAATTCAATGATTTGTTTTTATTTTCATCCATAATTCTTCATCATTCGTTTGTGTAATCAATGAAATAGATAGTGAAAGAAAGTGAGAAGAAAAAAAAACAAAGCTCTATATAATACAATGGATAAATGAAAAAAAAAAAAACATGAATTTTCAAAATGAATGATCCGATCGTCATTGATTTTTCTCTCATTCATTCATTCATTTGTTATTTTATTATTTGGGCGTATGTTGTTTTTTTTTTTTTGTATGACAATGCCTGCCTTTTGGTATTTGAAATTTGTGATTTTGGAATGTTTTGTTTTGTTTTATTTCATGATGCTTACAAACAATGAATGATGACGACACAATATGGAACAACAACAACAACAACAACATATCATCAACTACGTTGAACAAATTGAAAAAAATGGAAAAAAAAATGTTCCAGAAATCAAATCAAAACAAAATAATTTGCGAAATAAAAAATGAAATGAAATGAATTTACAGGATGATGAAAAAAAAATGATTGGGTTTGTCTCTCTTGGTATGTGATTGATTGATTGATTGATTGTGATCATGATGAAATGATTGTGATTGTTATGTAAATGTTTCATTTGTTGTTGTTGTTGTTGTGTTTTGGTTTGTTTTTTTGTTTTTTTTCAAAAAAATAATATTCACATTACAATTTTTTTTTCGTTGTTAAAAAATTTTTAATTTTTTTCTTTTTTACTAAGGTCGATTTTTTTTGTATTGTGTTGTTGTGTTGGTGTGGGTGTGTGTGGGTGAGGAAGGGAAAAAAGTCCCAAATTATAATGACTTTGTCATCATTTGTTTGGGTGGTGTGTGTGTCGATATTTGAAATGATTGATTGAATTTGTTGATTTTTTTTTCTATTTGTTTTTTCTCTCTCAATTATTAGATGCAATGAGACCAATAATTATTGGCTGCAACAGTCATCGCATTAGATAAATTATTTGTAGTCTGTCCAGGCACTTGGACTGGTACAGAAACTCCCGGTGATATCAATCCTGTTCGGATGAAAATACGAGTTGAGATTTGCATGATGACTAAGCTCCAATGATGAAGGTGTCCTATGGTGGCTATGAAGCTTACCTGTCGATCCTCCGGCTGTTGAATTATTAACATGATTAAATTGACCATTCACTGATTGCATTGCATGCATTTGTGCTGCGGCAGCTGATGGACAACCCGAATGTCTTGAATAGCTTAAACCGATCGTATCATAAGGATTTCTGGCGCTATGACTACTATGTGTTGATGGATGATGCATGAATGAATAGGCGGCTGCTTGCTGTTGTAAACATTGATTCGCATTGGCCATATTGTTCGACATTGTATACGATGACATTCCCATAGATCTGATTTTTTTGAAAAAAATACATCGATCCATTCGTTAATTGTTCGTTTAGATTTGTAATTTTTTTTTAATTAAAGAAAAAAATGCAACACTTACCCATATGTATCGGTCATCGATGGCATCGGCTGTGGTATGGTCGGATAAAGTGAATGATTAGCAAAACTGGTACTGATTGGTATTCGTGATGTTTGGCTTGATGCAACAACAGCGGCAGCACTTGCGGCAGCTGCAGCGGCCGCCGCAGCAGCAGCCGTCGCTGCATGAGCAGGAGAAGGTGTCGTAGCGTTTGTTCCATTTGTATTATTCAAATCAGTCAGACTATTATGAATGATACTATCCGGGGATGCCATTCCTGATTGTGAATTATGATTATGAGAATGATGTGATGGTGTTGTTACTGATGATGGTGCCGATATGGGTGGCGGCGGTCCATGTTGTGGTTGTTGTGGACCGGATGTTGATAATGGTATCGAATGCAGTGGCTGCTGTGCTGCTGCCGCTGTTGTTGCAACGGCTGTTGTCTGTTGTTGTTGTTGTTGTTGTTGGGCACTTTGAGAAATGTTTGTTGTTGTTGTTGTCGTTGATGTCATATCAATATTGTTGTTTGTTGTCGATGATGTCGATGATGATGATCGTGTATGACGATTATTACGTAGCTTCTCTTCCCGCCTCCATTTGGCCCGTCGATTGCTGAACCATACCTGTACGATATCATACTCCTATAAGCATTACAGTCAACACACAATGGTACATCATAATGGATGGATTCATGGACATATTAACTACACACTAAACTATCATATTCTGTTCTAACAAACTAAATTCTGATAATGAAAAACTGGTTACTCATCATTATTTTTGAAGAATAAAATGTCTAACACACACACACACACATCCATGATTATCTCATACACTTGATCTCGTCATGAGTTTTTTTTAAAAAAAAATATAATAAAATTATAAATAATTTGCTATTGGGCATATTTGGAGGCGGGAATTGAGAATACCATTGACAAGCGAATGTTATATGATAAAAAAAATTCTCATTGCCCATAAAAATAAATTACTCTAAACATTTACAACAATACAAGAATTGCTGTAATCATGTCCATTTTTACTTGTTGTATACTATGATGAATTATGCTAACTAGATTTGTGTATTCATGTGTGTTTGAGTGTGTGTTTGTATATGAATAACATGCCAGAAAAAAAATGGAAAATGTTTTTTTTTCCTGCTTACCTGTATTCTGGCTTCGGGCAATTCAATTTTCGCTGCTAGTCTTTCACGAGCAAATACATCCGGATAATGTGTACGTTCGAATTCTGTCAAAACCAATCGACAAAAAGAAATGAATAAGTGGAAATGAAGAAAAAAAAAATTAAATTTTCTCAAATCTTTTTTTTTCTCATATATCGTACCTTTTTCGAGTGCTTCAATTTGTTCGGGCGTAAATGATGTACGATTTCGTTGTAATTTTCGTTTTAAACGTAAACGTGCAGCTGAATCTACATCCGAACCATCATGTTGTGATGAATCCTCTGTACTGGAATCAATATCTATAGGAAAAAATATTTAAAAATGGGAAAAAAAATATTAATTATCCATGGGTCAATGTTTTATTTTTTGTTTCTCCTCAAATCAAGCCGATATGTTTTCAAATCGGATGATCTGATTTGAATTGAAATTCAATTCAATTCAATTCAATTTCGTTACGGCCACACGGTAATTATTTTAATTTAAATAAAAATCCACGAAATTAATCCTGATTATTTTCATTCTGATTTTTTCATTATTGAAAAAATTAGCTCAAGAATTCGTCATACACACACACACACTTTTTAGATTATAGAAATGTTTAACAAAAAAAAAATTTCAATTCGTTTCAAAAATGTATTCAATAAATAGAATATTTTTTTTCGTTAGAAGAGTCGTCATTGAGAACGGAGGGAAAATAAGATAAAATTGGATTTTCAATGGTCAAATATAGAATTTGAAAAAGAGAGAGAGAGAAAAATATTCTGAACAAATTTTCAACTTTGAACAACGTTGAAACATCATTGCCATTCAAAGATGGATGAGAGAAAAAATTTAATGTTTCAGGGAAAACGACTCAATGATGACGATGATGATGGCAATAACAAACAATGCTCAACGACAATGATGATGATGATGATGACCATGCCATTGTTGATGATGGAAAAAAAACTAGCAAACAAATGATATAAAAAAATGGTCAGTGATGCAGAAGATACCTGATAAGAGAAAAGAAGATTCTCATTCTCTTCAAAACCATACATATAACCAAGTAGATGATATTTAATGAGTACAAACAACAACAAAAACAAGCAAACCAAACCAAACCAAACCAAACCGACCAACCAGCCATTTGTCAATCGAACCCATCATTGTCTCTATTCTGTATTCTACTCGGCTATATTTTGCGCCCATTTGTTTAGATCAGTCGTTTATTTTGGTCGTTACTGGTTGTTTTGTGTTATGTTGTGACCATCATCATCATCATCATCATCATCATGGACAAACCAGAAAAAGGTCCAAGTTTTATCCATAAATTAATTAATGACTTGGAAATCCTTGTCCATGGCTAGTGTGTGTGTGTGTATATATATGGTTATTCTCAATAATATTTTGCTATTGCAATGGTAATAATTCTTACTGATAATATTTATACCAAATGGACAGAATTTGCCATTTTTTCTGCTTCTATCATCATCATCATCATCATCATCATGGCGACCATTTTCAGATTTTTGTCACATACAGTAATATAATATGAATGCAGCAGCACACGACATTTTCACACAAATCATAAGTTTAATTCTTATTCTTTTTGACCAAAGAGAATGAGAGAATGAAAGAAAAAACTCATTGGGAATACACATTGCACACGGTCATACGCGGATATATTTTTTTTCAACATTTGATCTAATCTTTGTAGAGAAAAAAAAAGTTTATTATTCTCGGTTTTTCGGTCCATTCACTACTAGAAATGCGTTTTTTCTAGTTGAAACCGAAGCCGATCCGTTCCAAAAATAAAAAAATAAATGATATCACTCAACATACAGTATATGTTGCCAATGTGATTATAACATTTTCATTGAATCGTTTTTTTTCTTCTTTTTCTTCTTCTATTGCTTAGGATCGGTAAAAACGATCAAAAAATTTTTTTATGGATTCTTTAGATTTTTTATATTCATTTGAGTGTGTGTGTGTGTGTGTGTTTGCGATTATGATGATATGATTTATTCAAAAGACCATTAAACAAAAGTACAAAAAGAAAAAATCCAATTCATTGATGAAATACGTACCTTTTTTTACAGAATTTCCATTTTCTATTGATGCGGCCGATGATGTTGTATTGGTATTGGTTGTATTAGTATTATTATTATTATTATTATTATTATTGGTTACAGCAGCCGGCGTTGGTACTGATGGCATACAATGTGCAGCTGATGTAATACTACCAAATGTAGCACTACCAGGATACCATGGTGTTGGTCTTGGCCAATTCTGTCCATTGAGAATACGAAGTTTATCATATACAACATCAGCTGTTTGTGCATGTGGATGATGATGATGATGATGATGATGATGATTGTTCTGTTCTTTCTGTGCAGCTAAATTACGTAATACACGATTGATTGAAGAGACCTGAATTGGATTTTAGTGTGTGAGAAAGAGAGAAGAAAGAGAAACAAAAATGGAATGAAAATGATAATGTTAAATAAAATCGGGTTAAATTTGAAACTATTTTCAATTATTATTTTTGTTATTTTAAATATATTCTTTTTGTTGTTCATATTATTTGTGATTAATTTTACAGTAGAATAACTATTTAATCATCATCATTCCAATCAATTTTGGTTTGATTATTTGTCATCAAACATTATTATGATGATGAGAATCTAACCAGATGACAATGATTCCTGATTCTCTTGATGTGTTTTTGTGTGTGTGTGTGTGTGTGTGAAAATAATTACAAGTGCTTCATGTTTATGGACACCCAAGAGATTATATATTTCAATCATTCTCTTTTTGGGTACAAATGATGAAAATGAAATTGAAACCACACGCACATTATTACAAATGAAAAAAGAATCGAACAAAACTCTATCTTTCTCTACATCATATATTTGTGTGTGTGTGTTTGATCCAAAATTAGATCATTCATTCACTGGTTTCTAATTCAATTCAACTTGGTGAGAGACAACAAAAAAAAATTGAATCAGCAATCGTTAGTTCAATTTTTTGAATAATGGTTAAAAACTTGTCCAGCTTTGTGGTTTTAGATGCAGCTTTCATTTGATAACTTGACTAAATTTAATAATTCAATAAAATTTGATTAAATTAAATCCAAACAATTCAAGTACTCATAATCATAGTGATGATGATGATGATGATGATATGAATAATTTTTTTTTTGTTTTTCTGTCTTCACATGACATTTTTTTTTGCATGCCGAATTCTGCAAAATGTTATGATGTGATATGATCAATGAATTTCCACAGGAGAACAAAAAAGTTGGAGCAGTTCACTAAGGGCTAATTAGATGAATTTAATTTTTTCTTCTGCAAGTGAGAAACATTTTCATCATCATCACCATCATTGTATATATTTGATTTGAAGTTGTAAATTGAAAATTTGACAAAATAAAATAAAATTTTTTTTGTTTGCCTGCAAAATTCGATTGAATAATCAAATTTTGTTGTTGCTGCCATCGTTCTCGATAACGACATATCATCATCATTGTTGGCGGCGATGAACAAAAACCGTTAAATTGCATTTCGGTTATATCAAGTTATACAATAATAATAACTACAGTTTATATTCCATTTTTTTTTTTTGACTTGTATCATTTGTTATGTAAATTTGAATTTTAAATTCAAAAATTGTTCATTGAGAATTTCATATATCACCGTGTATTCACACTGCACAAACACAACATTTTGCTGTTGATTTTTTTTATATCGATTGATGGATCGACATGTTACATGCATGCATCCATCCACATTGGATCGTATTGAATAACAACAAAATGTTTTTAGCTGTTGGTTATTCATCAACTTAATTATCGAGATAAAAATCATTGTGACAATGTCTTTCATTAGCCAAATTTATTTATACAAAAAAAAGCACAAAATGGCCATAATTTTGATGGTGGTAGTGATTGAAATTACCGCTATTTAGGACAAAAATGAAGGGGATGTAAATATATTAACAACAATTCATTCATATATTACAAGTCTATTAGCACAGGCACACAAACATTTATTGATTTGTTTCATTTACCGTTTCACACGAACATTGAACAATATATTTGGACCCCAAATATATTTGGTTCATGATCGTTGTTTTTGCCCATTCATTTGTGCATTGTATTCAAAAGGCAAGAAAAAAAAACTTTACGAGATTGAGAGATATGAAATAAGTGTGACCGTTTTTTCTAGTTTTTTTTTGTCATTTCACCATCATCATCATTATTGGTAATCATTTTCACTATTCCCTGTTTCATTATTATTTCTTACCGATTATTTCGGCAACTAGCCGCTAGTAACATATATATTTGTAACAACATTGTATCGTTTGACCGGGTCTTGTCGTCGACCTTGTTATAATAATAATAATAATGTTTCAAATCTTAATGGATTTTATTTATTATACATTATGAATACAATTGACAATACAATGATCTTTTTGACTTTTTTTTTGTTGTTATGTTTCTATGAAATGACACCACCACCGACACTATTCTTTTGAATCATTGAAATTCATTTTTGTTGTTGCTGCTGCTGCTGCTGCTGTCACATATATTTTTGTTCAACTTTTATATTGATTGTTTGATGTGTTTTTTTTCACATTCATTGCTTTTTTTTTGTACATTGTGGTCATGTTTTTTTTCTGCTTTGCTTTTTTTTCTAGCTCTATTATACAAAACTGCTGCTGCTGCTGCTGTTCAATTCTTATTCAAATTCAATTCATTTCCATTTCCATTTTTTTTTTATTTCGGAAAAAAAAGCCGGAGAATTTTTAATTTTATAATCAAAGTATGTAACAACAACAACAACAACAATTATGGATGATGGCAATATCCATTTTCATGTTATCATTAAAACTGTTTAAAACAAATTATCATTAGCTTTAAAAATCAATCAAATTTACATATATATTACTAGGCTTCATTTAATTCTCAATTTCCTTTTCTTTTCTTTTCTTTTTTTTTGGTTGCAAAAAAATGGCCATTTTATCTCAATGAATGAATAGATCTATGGGACATTTTCTTCAGTTATTTTTTTTTGAGAAGAAAAAGAGTTATTTTCAAATGAATGAATGAATGAAAAACTGTTTCACTTCATTCATTCATTAATTCATTAATGTGATATTAAAATGATCAAAGAACAACAAGCAATTTTATGTCAATTTGCTTGTATGGATTTCATTTGAACAACAGAAATAAATGTAATCTTTTTTTGAATTGTAATTGAATGGTTCTTGAAAAAAAAATATCTCAATTCTATCTATTGCCATATATCCATTGTCTAATTGTCAATTGACAATTGACAATTGACAACAACAATCATGTTCACAGCAGCATGTCCACCACCACCACCACCAACACTATCACGATAAGTTTGTTATATTTTTAGTGGAAAGATTTTCTGCTCTTTCTTTCATCATGACATTTTTACCCCCTTGTCATTTTTATATATACATGTTCCTCTGTCTGTGTTATTATGTTCTGAATTCGGACATGCTTAAGGTGGAGAATATTGTTAACAATTTACAAATGATAAAGAGAAGCGGTAGAAAGTGATAAAAAGAATTCATTTTCAAAATTTCGATCCAAGACACACACACACACACACACACTCAGACTGCTTTTGTATGTATATGTTTGTGACAATAATAATGATATCTATTAGCCAACAGACGACTACAAATACAATGACGACATGTGACAAGCATGAAACTAAGACTAATCCAATTGTGAATAGCATTTCATTATCAAGATGATGATGATGAGTGAATTTGGAAACGATTATACGATTTGCCTGGCTATGACAACAATTTTTTTTGTTTCTTTTCCACTTTATTATTGTGTTTTTTCGACAACAACAATATCTTCTGGTTATTATCTATTAAAACAGGAGTTTTAGAATGGGGAAAAAATCTATTTTTACTTTGGTTGTAGAAAAAATATTATCATTCTGTTGTTGTTGTTGTTGTTGTTTCAATTGTAGATTTTTTTTTCGGTGACATAACATTATAATCATTATCAATCCCATGTGTATTTTTTTCTGTTGTTTTTCCTCTTCTTCTTCTTCTTCTTCTTTTCAAACGACACAGTGGATTAAAAACATTCACAATTCATTTGTTCACAGTGTTTTTGTTGTTGTTGTTGTTGTTGTTGTTGTAGACGGACAAATATAAATCCCATGATTTAATTGTGTATCTGTCTGTCTGTCTCTGTGTGTGTGCGTTTTAGTTTTCAAATTCTTTTTTTTCAAAATTTTGATAAAAATAAATGAATGATAACTAGATTGTAAGGATTTAAAGATGATTGATACGGTAGAGAGAAAAAAAATTGAAAATGAAAATGAAATTCCTATGCTATGAATGAAAGAAAGAGAGAATGATTCTGTAATAATAATAATAATAACTTGAAAATCAAGTACATTATTACCACATTACTACTGTCCTAGTCATACATGATGACAATGAAAAAAAAACGGCAGATCCAAAACTAATCTGATTAGATTGTTGTTGTGATGATAGAACATCAAAATCGATGATAATGTCGTCCTCAAAAAAAAAATTGTATATAATCTCAATTGACAATAACACAATTGTTGTACTTCAATCATCATCATAATCATCATAATCATCATCATCATTCACTAATTCATTTCCAACAATAATGACAATCATCATCATCATCATTGATATACAATGGACGGTCGTTCGACCGACATTCAAATAATGGGGAGAAAAAAAAGGGAATCGAGTGTTCATCATGATGATAGAATCCATAGCTCAAATGATATGTGATTATTATATTCAAACCACACACACACAAATACACATACAGACATACATTTTGTGATTATTTGAATGTAGAATATTCTTTTGGCTATAAAATAATGAAAATGTATAAAAATTTTTTTTGAAATGGAAAAACTATGTTTCTCTCTCTTTTTTTTTGGATACACTTCAGACACACTTACACACATTGAATTGGTTTCATTCATTGTAACATAAAACTAAACGGGAAACGAATAAAAGTATTTTTCATAGTAGCAGTAGCAGAAAAAAAAGTTTGAAACCAGAATAAAGTTGAAGCTTTGTAGTAGTAAAAAACGGAATTGAATTGATCATGATGATGATGATGATTTCTATCTATCGTATGTGTCTGAATTTGTGTGTGTGTTCCAATAAGAAGGTATTATAAAATGTAAAACCGGAAATTCAAATGTCCATTGCTTGAATTCGGGATATATATCTCTTTACACTAAAAAAAAAAAAAAAAATATTCATGATGATGATTTGCATGATTTACAGTGTTTCATTTATGTCGAATAAATGATGAATTGTATTGTGTATGTAGAGATGATCCAAACGGAAATTTGACTTCCTTTTTTTCTGGCCATACGGTTTTCTTTTTCGGGGTGCGAGAGTGTGCGTGTGTGTGTGTTAAACATTGAACATTCATTATTGTGATTTGATCTACTCAATTTAATCTATTGATATATATATATTTCAATGTCATAACTCGTTTCTCGTTTTTGGGAACTGTGTGTGAATAAGTAGTAAGACTGCCGTCGTTCAGTTTTCAGAGTTCATTAGTAAGAAACATTAGCCATATATAACTGCATGCAGTGAACAACAACAACAATCGAATGATGATCATCATCATCATCATTATCGATCAGTCGATTAATAGTTGGAAATTTTTTTTTTTAAATCATCATTGGTCATGGATTATTAGTATATTGTATGCGTGTGCGAATGATATCAATCAAATAACTTAATTATCTTTGATTACTAGAAAAAAAGTAATCTTTTTCCCCTATAGGCAAATAAAGTTTGCAAATTGAACGTTTGTTGTGGGTAACAGAGCAATTTTTTTTTTGTTGTTGTTGTCCAAAAATTTGATTTCTATTCAAATTTCAAGACGAGACGATACAAAATGTTTCAACAACAACAACAACAAAAAATGTTTAAATTTGATTGAATTTTTTTTTCGGTAGTCGTCGTCGTCGTTGTTGTTGTCAATCATCATCATCATCATAATCACATTGTAAAAAACAGGAGAATGAAAAATTTTTTCATTGTCATTTTTGAAATTTATACACACATAAAATGTCTATACATTTTCTCTGAATTTTTTTTTCTCAATTTTAAACGACAATAATATCAATGAATGAATGAATGAATGAGAAAGGTCTAAGGCCGATGGTAATCATCATCATCATCAGTGCCTAATAGCTTGTATGATGATGATGATGATGATGATTACCTGGGTGACCCATCATCATCGGTCTTTGTTACATTTCGATCGGTGATTTTTTTTTCTGCTTCTGAAATTTTTTTTTTTTTTTGATTTGATTTGACTTGATAACAATACGATCACATATATCTGACATATGTTATATACATTACACGTGTGTGTGTGTGCTTGTTATGGTTATGAAATTTTTTTTTTTTTCACTTACCGATGGTACATTGTCATTGTTACAGGCTCCTTCCGAAAGTAACCTATCACGAATTTCCCATGCAAATATCGATGGACATTCTCTTTTATATTGAGCGATCTTGGCCACAACGTCCGAAGTTGCAACTCGTGGCTTACTGCCACCAATTGCTCTCGGACGTATTGAGCCAGTCTCGTAATATCGACCTAGAATTTTGGATACACAACCGTTGGACACCTTGAAAAATCACAATTAAAAATTAGCATTTTAATTGAATTAGAAATTTAAATTAATTTTATTACCTGTAATATACGGGATATGTCACAAGGTCGAGCACCACTATGCGCTAGCTCGACTATTTTTTGGCGGGTCGAATCAGGCAATGGACGCCCGTTCACGTAGACGCCGCCTAGTTGATTGATTCCTGAGTGGCCTATATACAAATGAAAAAAAAAATCAAAAACAATAGATTATTTATCACACTTGATTATATGAATGATCCATGATAGTTTTTACACAGATAATTAAGTGCCTAAACATGTGATGATAATAACAATGGAAAAAAAAGAGAAATGTTTGTTGTATCAGGTTCGTTTAACTGATTTGGATTTTGTGAAACGAAAAAAAAATAATTTGTAACGATTATCTATTCAATATATGGTGGTTATCAATGAGTAAAATCATCATCATCATCATCATCATAGAAACATGAAACATACATCCTAATTATCTGCTCGTGTAAGCACGACTGATTTACTTTATTGATTTCTTGTCTATTATTTTTTTTTCTCTATATGTTCTTTTGCTTCAGTTGATTCATTCTGGCCAATGAACAAAAGAAAAAAAAAGAAAAAACATGGAAAGCTTCAAATCATCAACATCATCAGTTAATTTAAAGTTAATATTTACACTTTTTTTTGTAGTTGAATGATTATGGATTGGTGGAAAAAATTTTTGTCTTTGAAACAAAAGCAACAAAAAAATTTATTGTAATCAATAATAATACGGTGTGTGTGTGTGCGTGAGACCATATATATATATCGATTGTGGATGGATGAATGGATAATGTCATCTTCTTCATGAACAAAAACGGAAGACGATGATGATGATGATGATGATAGGTGATGAAGCACGAAAAACAAATTCGACGACCATGAATAAATAAGAATAAAAGAAAGTAAGAAGAAGAAGAAGAATGATGATGATGATGATGATGATGATCGAAATGTTCATTCAACTTGTCCAATATAACTGAATGACTAAGTCAAGTTAAGTTTCTTCCTTTGAGTTTTTTTTTCCTTTTGAATGGATCACTGGATGGATGACTTTGAAAAAAAGCTTTATGAGGCGTTCACGTGGAATCAAGCGTTTAAACGTTTCCACATACACACACACACACAAACAAACACAAACACAGTAATCAAAACGATTGGAACCAAGAAAATTGTATATAATACAAACATTACCATCCCCTTTTTCCAGACAGAACTAAAAAACTAAAGACTTTATATAACCATGATGATGATCTTTCTATTTCCTCCTCCTCCCACCACCACCACCACCACCACCATCAAATAGTTCTTAAGTTTTTTTTCTTGAAAAAAAACCACAATCCAATCTAATGATTTTGGTTGAATAAATAGTTTAAACATTTAACCATTTCTGTGTTAATAGATGCGAAAAAAATTGGCTAATTTGTGGATGTAATTTTTTTCCATCCAAAGAAAAACAAAGAAAAAACATAACTAGAATCGATTCTTGTTTCATCGAAAAAATGTGATAAAATCATCATTATTAGTGTTTATGATGATGACTCTATTTAGCTACTCGATATCCTGTATCGCTATAATGCCGTATGTTTGGCCATACAGGGCTTCATAATCATTATCGTATGAATTTATATGAATGTCATTTTCATACAACAACAACAACAACGACGACAAAAAAAATACGACAACTTGACAATTTGATACAAATGATATTGTTATTTCGTTTTTTTTTACTTTGTTCCTATTTATTCATTGTCATCATCATCATCATCTCCATTAGCATTTATATACAGGATATATATTCAATAGTAATATGGTGATATAGTTGACACTTTTAATGCTTGTCAACCAGATATCGAAAAAAGAAAAGCAATGATGACGACGGTGACAACGACGACGACGACGACGACGACGACAGAAAATAAAACCCGAATATATTTGCCATTTTATTTTATTTTATTATATTACATATATTTGGGATACACTAAAACAAATTGTATCCGAAATGGAACACACACACACACACACACACGCATACACACAAAACATTTGGAACAAACGGTTTTCGAGGTCCGTCAATCGGTCGGTCGGTTTTTTTTTGTCTCTCTGTGCATCTGTGAAAATATCTTGAACGAAAAGTGATATGCGTTGACGTTTGAATCTCATTTTTTTTGTTTTCGTTTGTTAAGTTTGAATGACACTGTCACAAATTGTGTGTGTGTGTATGTGTTGTGAAATGTGACAAATATCACACTTTTTTTTTCTTTTTGTCATTCAAAAAACGATCACAACGACAAGCAAGACAAATTGAGACTTTTTTCTTTTGTCATATTCAGTCAGTCAAATTTGAACAACAACAAAGGATAAACAACCAAACAAATGACCACTAGTATTAATGGTACTAATTAGGATCCATCATATTTGAAACAATTTTTTCTTGGTTCCAATATATCCTATCAGTGAATATTATCATTTGGAAATCTCGGTATATAAAAAAAACACACATACATTGATTACATTGATCTTTGCCAATTGTGTGTGTGTGTGTGTGTGTTTGATTGTATGCTACGTGCTCAGTATCTATTATTATCTGATTTCATTATTCGACCTCTACAACGATGATGATTTTTTCCTGTTTTCTTAATTCCATAATTTTTATATATCACGAAAATTTAATACAACTTTTTTCTAGTTCCAGATATTTCATCCTGTAAATAGTGAATATTTGCTTGTTGAATTCTAATTAAATTACTCGAGGCTGTATGTTGTTGTGTTTAGAAAGAGAGAAACAGAATATTATACCAAAGAATATTATACGAATGATTCCATGCATTATATGTATTGATTGTGTGTGTGTGCTCAATAAACTGCTAATTTTTCACTAGATTGAGAGAGTGAGAATGAATCAATACAACAAACGATTCAATGTATACAAGAAAAAAAAGATCCAAACTAGACAAATGTCGAAATTTATACATACATATACGGATCGAACTGAATTAGATCCAAACAAACAAACAAACAAACAAACAAAATCAACAACAACAACAACTACTATTACTACTACAATAAACAAGACCAGAAAAAAAAATTGAATAAAGAGTCCATTTACCATGTGTGTGGATCATGTGTATGTGTAATAATGGCTAATCAAAAGAAATTCTTAGTTGAATATATACTAAACTAGTTAGGAAAATATGCAAGTAATATAAATTGTGTGCAATGAACAGAATCTAATCAATATCATTGAACGGATTCTTTGTTGTCTCTATTAGTTTTTTTCTTCGTGGTATACCCTAATCATATATCGATCGATCCATATATATATATATATAAATTGATTAATGTTTTTCTGATTCAACTGAGCACAAAAAAAATGAGAATGTAGAATGTTTCCTCATCAAATCTTTCATCATCTCATTTTTTTTTCACTGGCTAATAAAATCAATTTTATATTCCATTTTTTCTTTTTCTCTCTCTCTCGCTCGATCCATATTCTGGATTCATTTATTCAATGATAAAATAATTAATTTTTCATCTATAATCTGACACGTGTCTGGTTGTGTTATGGGTTATGGTATTCTTGCCATCTTTCAATTCTTTTTTTTAAACTGAAAACTGAAAACTGTCTGTTTTCATGGATCATCATCTGATGATGAGATTCACGGCATGAACCGTATGTGTTTTTTTTATTTGTGAAAGTGTAATGTAAAAAGATCTGATGGATTGATTCTAATATAATAAAACTGATTATATACCAAATGTTGAATGTGTGTATGTGATTTTTTTTCTATTTAACAATAACTGAATATTATATAACAATAATAATAACTGAAAATTAATACTTTTTTTCTCTCTCATCAGAATATTATTGAAAATGTTATATGTAGAAAGAGTTCATAAAACAACAAGGGCGTCCGATGTCATTCATTCATATGTTCGTGATTCGTGTTATTGTCCCAAAATGAAAATTCTATTGTTATTGTGGATAACCTATCATTATGTAGAGAATTGGTTTTAGAGAATTTTTTTTTTTTTTTTTTTGGTGACCTCATCGTACAAAAAAGTGAATGAAACTCAATGAAATGAGCTATGAATGAATGTGAAGCTGGTATGTTGTCGTCGTCGTCGTCGTCGTCGCTCATATAATTAGAATAATCGAGTAAATTGTCTGCGTTCGTTTTGATTTTTTTTCTGATTTAAATTTTTTTTGTAACTTTTTTTCTACATAAAACAGATTTTAAACACACACGCATACATACACACACAAAAACAAACATACGAGTGATAGTAAGAAAAAGTAGCACGAATATTCTCTCCACGAAACATGAAGAATCCTGTCCTTTCGACAAATAGTTTAATGATTAGTTTTTTTTTTTAATAACAGCAAACAGTTCGTCGTTTAAAAAAAACGACGAACTGTGGCTGAAACATCAAGTCAATAATCGAACTTGAATGTAACTTTGAACTATATATTTAAAGCTTAGTATAATTTTTAGTTGGAATAATAACGTGAATACACGGACATTTTGGAACTTTTTTTTCTTGTTAGAAAGCTTAAAGCTTTACAACCCTATGCTTTTGCTTTATGATGATGATGATGATGATGATCATCATCATCATCATATCTATCATTCATTCAACTTTTATTCAAAAAATGTTTGCCTCTATTATTGATGATGAAATTCTTTCCATTCTTGTCTATATGTGTTCCAGGAACATTCAAACACACACACATACACACACACATTTATCGTAGATGATAATAATGATGGAGGAGACACACACACAACATATACATGCTATTTTATGGAATAGTGATGGTTGAATTTGTTGGTGATAGTGGGGTTTGATTCTGTATTCGGTAATATACAAACATCTATCATATCAACGTCTTTTGTCAACTACTACTAAACATTAACTAAATAAAATCGGGGTAGTCGAGGGATTTTTTTTTTATTTTGAAAATTTTCATTCTCGTCGTTTTTTAAGAGTATTTTTGATGATGATCCAGGATCGTTGGCCGAAACCATTTTATCATCATATCTCCATCACCATATCGTATTGTATTGTTATGAGTAAATCATTTAATCTCACCACTATCTCGAGTGGTACATCTCTACATTTTCCTGGGTTTAGTTTAGTATTTTTTTATTATTATTATTATCATGATGAGTATGGGCAACCTATTGTATTTGAGTATGTGTGTGTGTGTGTGTACGGGATTCCAACATATTGTTTCCGATTATATAAACAACAACAATAACAATAACCGTATTCTTTTCTTATTCGTTTTTTCCTCTCTTTCTATACACAACATACACACACAACAAAGAATCAAGATGATCAGAATAGATGTAGAAAATAATCGAAATAGAAAAAAAAATAAAGGCTATCATCATTATATGTTCATGAAAGGATGCAAGTAAAAAAAAATTGTCAAAAATTATTGGGTTAAAATAGCAAAATAAAAAACAATTTAGAAGAAGAAAAATGAATGAGAGAGAGAGACATAGCCATTAGACATTAGTGTGAAAAGAGTTATGAAATGAAATGAAAAAAATTGAAGAAAGAAGATGAAATTTATTTAGATTGATAAACGAAAATGAAAAATTTGATGCTGTTTATTTGTTTATTTGATTGTTGAATGATGATGATGATGGTGATGATGAGTATGATTTTGAATTTGATTTTGAACAACTTACCCTTATGTTGCATTCTACATTGATCCTGTTGTGCTAATACATCGGCAACGGCTGAAACAAATCTTGATGATGTCAATGTTGTTGGTGGTGATGATGATGCCGATGATGTTGTTGTTGACCAAAAATGATGGCTAGTAGCACGTTGAAATGATCCATGACCATCGTTTGGCACCATTGTATGATGCGGATGATGATGGTAATGGTTATGATGATGTGAAGTAGGATGTGTTAAAGCCGTTTTGAATCGTTTATTTTCTATTGTGAATCGTAATCCACAATAATGATATGGACTTCAATGATTTTTTTTCAACAAAAAAAAAACACACACACACAAAAGCACAGAAAAAAATATGGAATTTTAACTCTTTTCCTTTTTCCTATTGTCAAATTTTATTGTCAATCTCTCATCAGTGGTCAGTGATTGGTGGGTAGTGGTGGTGGTGGTGGTGTTGGTGGACACAAGGTGCAACAAAAATAGAAAACAAAAATTTTTTTGGTGGCTATAATAAGGGGGATAATAACACAATAATAATTATCATTATCATTTTAAAGTGGTTTTTTTATATATATTTAATCAATGAAATGAAATGGGATCTATACATTACATAACATAATAAGAAGCTTATCGATTTGATTGATTTATATTGAATTTCATAATGGTGTGTATCATGCACACACACAAAAAAAATTTGTACAAATTGTTTTCATAATATTACCTTTGTTGTTGTCGTTATTATTATTATTTTTATGCTTACATGCGTAATCTCTTCTTAAGTGTTTCTCTCTCTCTCTTTCTAGGTTTTTTTTCACATTTTGAACATTGTTGTGTCAACTAAAATTTTGAAAATTGGTGACTTTTTTTTCTCTCATTTCATCATTGTCGTCGTCGTCATTCTGTCTCCATTATAGTCTCAACAACCAAAAAAAAAAAAACTAACGACAATGACAAGTAGGTAATAATATTCATATATATATCGAAATCCATAAATCCAACAACAACAACAATGTTTAACAATGTTATTGACTTTCATCTGATAAGTGTTTTTATTTTTTCTTCCCTTATTTTTCATTGTAATAATCTTCTTAGCTGTATGTAGAAGTTGAATAATCTGAATGAATGAATGAAAAAAACGATTCAATTCGTTTTTTTTATGTTCTACCCTCATAGGTAATGTATACTTTAGAGGAAAAAATTTGTTTGTGAATGAATCGTCATTTTTAGGTTTGGTTTGGTTTGGTTTCTTGTATATAAACAATTGCTTTTCAAAATATAGAGATTTCTTCTTTTTGATAATCGAAAAAACTACAGAATAAAGTAGCAATGAAATTCTGTAAAAAAATGTTCATTTATCATAGCAACCATCATCATCATCATCATTATTACAAATATATCAGCAACCAATCGAGACTACCATTCCTGGAACGCACAGACACACACACGCACTCATTGTTATTATTGTTGTTGTTTCGAAAAAAGGCATCCCATTCATTTTTTTCGCTAAAATTCTGGTTTTTATTTCATTCTTTTTTTGCTGGTTTTGGGTTCTAGATCGTTGACTTTGACTTTTCCTAACGAAAAACACACGCCATGTGCGTGTGCCAATTTTGAATTCTTGTTTTATTTCATTCAAATAGAATGTGCATTGTGTGTGTGTGTGTGTGTTTGTGTATTGTTTTCGATTGTTATATCGACAGGACAACCAAAATGAACCTGAATGAGTCCGCAAAAACCACACTGAATACGATTCATATATTCAACTGACCATTTATCTATCGATTGTGACAAATACTACAATAATAACAATTGAATGAATGATCATCACCATTATCGAATCAAGTGATGATCATTTTTTATCAATTTTTATCGAATGTTATTTTTTAGCTTTTGCTAGATTCCTATTGTTGTTGATATATATATAGTCATTCATGTATTCCGAAAGGCTAATTTAATTATAACCGAATTCCCTATCGACATTTTAGGCCGTAAATATTTTTTTTTTCATTTTTTTTCAATGATATTGATGACAAGTGAAATCGACGATTATTGGTTGACCGAGACGAGCGAGAAAAAACGCAAGAAAAAAAACGGCGAAAAATACAACAAACCCACAAACAAAGCAAATTTAATAAATCAAAAAAAAAACCACAGAATCATTGTGTTTCAATGTGTGTGTGTGTGTGTGTTGTAATAATATTCTCCATAGAATTGACACACTTAGATTCATTCATGATGATAATGTTGATGATGTTGGTGGTGATGTCGTCCCGTGAGACAGTGACAATCATCAGTGAAAAGTGAAAATAGAGAATCCAAGTAAAACTTTTGGGATTTTTTTTTTTTTTTTTTTGGTTGGCCCCCATTTTCATCATCATTATTATTATTTGCTAACTACAACACATTTGCAAGGTCATGAGATATTTTTTCGGTGTCATTGTATTTTTGTTGATGGATTGATTATTGATCACAATATTGAAATAAAAAAAAGAGAATTAAATATAACTTACCGTAAATGATGATGGCTAAATGATGAACCCAAATTAGAAAAAAAATAGATATAATTTGATGCAATTATGCTTTTAATGTTAAGTTGAAGATGATGATGATGATTCTTGGGGTTTAAATTACTAAAAATTATCACAATTTGGAAAAGATGAGTGTAGAAATTATTTTTTTTTTTCTGCAAAATTGAATCGATATTATTATTTTTGAAAAAAAATTCGTTCAAATATTTGTCTTTTTCTTTGATTTTTTTATTTGTCGTCAGTTAAGTTAATGATTAATTGATTCTGATCGAATTTTTTTTGTCTTTTTGATTTTTTTTCGGGCCAGATGATGATGGTGATGATTTTAAAGATGGCAATGTTTTTTCTATTTTTTTCCTAAATTTTGGTAATACTTGGCTATTGGCCACATAACCACCATGTACACACAAATACACACAGTGTTCCGGTTTTGATTATTTTCTTTTTATTTTGTGGATCATTGATTAAACGAGTGAAATGTTTTTATGTGTGTGTGTGTGTTGTGTGATTGAAGAAGAAAAATTCAATGAAGAATGAATTAAGAAAAATAAAAAACCAAAAATCAACGATGATAATTCGAATTGAACGATTCATTGAACGGATGAGTTCATCATATATATATATATAGGTTGAATTGAACAAAAAATTGATGATTGACCAATCAAAAATGATGATGATGATTCAGAAACACTAATCTAATTCACAAATGAACGTGTTGAAAATTTTTAAACGACAACAGATGAAATAAAACAATCCTGTGTTTGTGTGTGTGTGTGTATTATTTGGTATGACAATTTTTTCATTCAAAACGATTGGATTTGATTCGATTATAGCCAAATACAATATATCAAAACTGAAATCAATCAGGAAGATGATGATGATTATTTGGTTTCAAAAATTATGTATGACGAAAAAATAACTCGTTGTTTCAATGATGATGATAATGGTTGAATGAAATTCAATGGCAAATTGTTAATTGTCAATTTGTTTGTGTGTACGTTTGTGTTTCACTCGTTTTTATTTTCATTCTTGATCGGGCATAACGAATTGAATGTAAAGATTTTTATATTTTATTTTGTTTGTCGTCGACACACACACACACTATTTGATCTAAATACTAATATGCATTTATATACTCACACATATTTACCGTTTGATTGCACCTCAACACACACATATACACACACACTCATTGACATGACAGAAATAATATCAAACGAAACAAACGAAGATGATTTTCTTTTTTCTTTTTTTTTTTACTGGCTATTTTGTTGTCAAACAAAATGAATGAAATTGAAAATAATAACAACAACAACAACAAAAACAATCCAAACAACCATATAATAATCAATGGCAACATATATAAACAGGCGGTACTTTTTTGGTTGCACACATACACATTCATTCAAGGCGTACCAAATAAAAAAAAAATTTAGTTTCATATTCTATTACTGCTACTGTCGTACGCTTGATTTGTTTCATCCTCTTTTTTTTTTTTGTACTACAAACAAACTTTGTGTATTCATCAATGTTGATTGTACTTATGCAGCAGATGAACAAAAAAAAATAGAAAATGGAAAATGGGGGCCACACATATATATAGTTGGGTTTGTGTTTAGTAGGCCGGATTTTATTTTGCCGCCTTTCATTTTATTTCTTACTGTGTATAGCTTTGATTGGTGTGTATGATCTCCAATAATGAACGTAGGGAAAGACCACTCCCGCTTTATTTTGTATACTAGCCAATGTATTTGCTTGAATGAATTTTGTTTTCGTTTTTATGCGTATAATGCAAACAAACTTGAATCAGAAAAAAAACAACATAGCAAACATGAATTCTTGGATGTGCTACTCCGATGCTAGTGGCCATAAAATGAATTGATCCAAAAAAAATTTTTTGATTTTTGGAATGGTATCCAAACACAACACAACGCCGAAGCATCCATAACAAATATCAAGAAAATGATGGCGGTAATAATGATGATGGTTGTTCGTTCTAGCTGTATATCACTGTGTAGAATCATCATCATCATCATCATTGATATATGCACCTTAATTTTGGATTTCTACATAAAATTCTTTCGTTTTTTTTATAACAAAGAAAATATAAATTAATATCATCATTGTTAATGTACAAAAAAATGACAAAATTCCTTTTTTTTCCATTCTCTAAATCCAATGAGAAACGGTACAATTCAGAAATTTCTTATTCACAAATGGAACAAAACTTTTGATTCCAGAAAAAAAAATTCCAAATTCATTCATGAAATTACCCCGCGAAATAACCACAAAGTTAATTTAATTTCAAGAATTTTTTTTTTTGATTTGTAGAAATCAAAATAGAGACAAGTCATCAAATTAGCATCATCATCATCATCATCATGAATTGTTTCAAATGATGATGAGAATTAAATTCAAATTATCATTATTAAAATGTCATTTTTCAACATTTTTATTGGAGAAAAATTTCATATTTTACGTCGGCCGCATCGTCATTTAACACTTTTTTTTCATTCTAAAGATGATTAATCTTCGGACCATTAGA